AGCAGGCCTATTCAAGGTCTCAGCGTTTGTTTTAGAATATTCAACGGCAAGGGTTTATATGATCTAATGGGAATGCAAAATGCAGCATCCTCTCGCACGTGCTCCTTCGCCGGTACCATTTAGCGGAAGAAGTTGCGTTCTTGACCGCGCCTCGCTTCTGGCGCATGCTTTCAAGATTTGAGTTCCATTCTCCGGAATAAATGTTGATCGCATCTGCCACTGTCAGCTGGTAGGAGTTGTCCCGCCTTCTAAAAAATGCTGGGAAGTCAAAGTAGGAAGAAGAAATGCGATGTGTGTTCGGCGCGCAAAAAAAAAGAAAAACGGCTGGCCCAGGATTGGTTTCGCCGATTTTATGGAAAACGCCTGATTCGGTATATGTTCGATCTAAAGATCGGTCCAGTCCTACTGGCAAGTGGTTGACTTATACCAAATATGTGCATCTGGGAGGTAATTGAAACTGCTTATAGTTTCAAGAGCTTTCTTGAAAAATAAAAGTCAAAAGGTGCGAGCAGTTAAGAATGTATACGAAATTCTCTAAGACAGATTTGATCAGATATTTGGGTTCTAGGGGCCACATTGGCTCTACGCTGCAGGTCTACAGGCCATAGACTTAAAGAACTTGAGTGGGATTACTGGATAGAGGATCGTAGTGGGAGGAACTTAAACTGAGTCAACCCCATTCTACAATCCCTACCCTTTAATCCCACTACTGCCTGCCATTTCAATTTATAAAACTTTCCGTGTGGGCTGCACAGGAACACTACAAGGGCGCATGAGGCCTGTAGACCACGCTTTGAGCACCCCATCTCTTTAGAGATTCAATATTCCCATAGTCAAATTGAAGCCCCGTTATTGTGAATAGATTGTAAGTTGAATTTGACTATTGTACTGTTTTCCAATGGCCTAGAGTGATGCTTAGAAGTGTCTGTTGGGTGGGCCTTCGCGAATCCACTAAAGTTGTTAAGGCCCTCATGGATTGAAGGTTATTATTATGCTTCTCTTCCTCTTTTCAGATAATATGCCTTGCTATGAAATGAATCATCCCTTGCGAGGTAAAGCATTAGTTTTTAACCAAGAAAAGTTCCTGATCGATCTGCCAGAGCGAACGGGTATTGCATTCGACCGGAATCGTCTAGCAAGGATTCTGAAGCATTTACAATTTGAAGTTATTGTGTATGAAAATCAAAGGCATCAACGTATTCGAAGTCTCATTGAAAAAGGTAAAGATTGTCATTTTTTGCTTGACAAATGAAAAATCTACCCATTATAAAAGTATGAGGGATGATGAAAAAATATTTAAACCTAAGGTATTTTCAGTTGCAATTGCACCGTTCTTAATCGTCTATGGGAAGACAGATGACTTTTATGACGGCTGCAAAAATGTCATCTTGCTTGTAAATTGGAGGTAGCATCTACACGCTTTTTTTCAATGTGCTACCAAAGGGTCTGCAGAAGGGATATTACAATTGAGACGAATGATGAGTATAACCTCTAAGTAGCCGATCTCCGAACAGACCTTTTCAGGAGCTAAGATGATAGAGTAATACTAACTCTTTTCGTTTTCACTCTCGTACATGACTTCCAAAGAAGCCATACAATGCTGCGAAATCCATGATGCCAGCATTTCGGTGTAAAAAAAAAAAATGATTAGGAGTTTTTCCATGGTAGGGACACATCCATTATTAATACCGGAATTCCGGGGTGTGCATAATTTATGACCCCGCCCCACATGCGTCGCTGGATTGTACATATACTTCCTTCGGTAGGAAGAAGAGATATTCTTCTCTCGACCTAAGGAAATAGAAGATAGAACCTGCGATCACCTCCCTTTACTGAAACGCCACTTGGATAGGTTCAACTCAGTTTCGTACGTGGTCTTCAAAAAGAATAAGGGCATATATCTTCACGGGACTCCATGATTATATCTGGAAGATGGGCATGACAAATTAGGAACTGTCAAAGTTAACTAATTGCTACAATGAAGCAAGGCGAGACATTAGGGGACGTATAAAACTCTCTTGTGAGAGATGATTCCTTGGGTAAGGGGAGAGCACTTTTGTGCCCTTTGAGAAATGCGAGAATCCGATACTTCCATCTAGTGGCCTAGAGGAGAACTTCAAATGGAACCCTATAGGCCTATAGGGTTCCGTATAAGTCCTATAGGGATCCCTATAGGTCGTATAGGTCCTATAGGGAACCCTATAGGTCTTATATGGAACCCTATAGGACCTATAGGGAACCCTACGGGTCCTTTACAGAGCCCTTTGGGTCCTATAGGGAACCTATAGGCCCTATGAGGAACCCTATTGGTTCTATAGGGGGCTCTATAGGTTCTATAGGGAACTCTATAGGTTCTACAGTATAAGGGACTCTATAGGTCCCGAACTGAACTCTATGGGGCATATAGGAACCTATAGGATTCCTTCAAGTTCCTAAGGGATTCTTATAGGAATATATAGGAATCCTATAAGACATTTTCGTAAAGGCGTATATCAACACTTCAAAGAAAACATTCAAATTCCTGTTCCAAATAACTCACCGAAAGTAAGAGGCGTAGGAACATAAAGGCTTCCTAAAATGGTTTCAATGACCTATCCTACGCAACGAGAGGAGAGTTCAGAGGATCAAAAGACCTATTGTCTATAGATGGTTATCATGTTAGCTGTATGTTCGTTGAAAAGGTTCATTTAAAATGCTTGTGGGTCACTTTTGGGTTCATTTCTTGACTTCTACGAACGTTTCCATGATCGTCTGCACTATCACGCATATTTAATTACGCAAGCCTAATAGTGTATTTTGTCAAGCGATAATGTCTCGTTTACATTTGCCCTAAAAAAATTTTTCCCGTGACATTATTATCACGGCGACATTTTGTCCGCGACATTTTGTCTGGCGACATTTTTTCCTCGCATAGTGCGTGCTCGTGATCGTTTGTGTCTGTGTGTGTGAAAAGGGGAGAAGAGGACCGACGCAACTTCAACTGGCGCCTACCACTATTGATTTTTTTGTACCTATGACGCCTTTTTTTCATCAAATGCTCCGCTTTCCTTTCCCTCCCCCCACCTGAGCTTTCCCCTTTCCCTCTCCGCACATTGCCACTCACTCCCAGCCTGTCTATTCTCTCCTGAATGGTTTCCTTACGAAAACATGGGTGCGGATGAATGTCTTCCGGCACGGTTGTTAATTTTGGGGGCATTCAAATGGAGACAGGAAACAAAAATTCACACGCTTGAGATAATTTAATCAGGGTCATAAAACTTTATAAGGAATCCAAATTATCCTACGCAACGATAGGCGAGTTAATAGGATCAAAATACACACAAATTAATAGACACAGGGGCTTTCACTATTTCCTCCCCTCATTCTCCCTGGAAAAAGGACCTAATCGGGATAAGGAATTAGTTCAACCCTTTGGACCGATTATCCTCAGAACGAGGATACTATATTTCGAGATGACTAAGAAAATTGGCTGCCGAATCATGCGCGAATGTGTTGAGTCTCCTCTGACCAAGAACGATTTGACTATGGCCATGTTGAGGTATCATGCAGCAATCGATCGCGTTTCTCCTGCATGTCTCCTTCCTCGTCTACGATCACGAGCTGCTTTCCACAGAGTCAATGGTGTGATGGAATAACCAGATGACACTTGCATCGCCTTTCCAGGTGAACCGGTAGGATTAGGTAGGAATGGTAGGATTTTTCCCAGTTTTGCCTGAAATGGCCAGCGTACTGTAGAAAGCTTGATCCTTCTTTCCCTTTCTCACTCAATATTTTTTTCCTGTCTAGACTTCTCTTCCCCGGGCATGGGAGATGCCAGGCACCAGCACACCGCTGTCTCACAACCTCTTTAAAAAAAAATTTTTCATGCGTCACTCCTTTGCTTCACAATCCATCTTTTTCCATATTCGCTTGAAAGAATTCGGCATTCAAAGATATTTCAATAATACTTTAGAATTTCCACTCGCGAGGCATCCAACATCTTTTATGAGTAAAAATTTTAACCCTACTGCTTTCCTCCTTTTCCTCCCAACCAATGCACAAAGAATATTGCGAGATTGTGATTTTTCCGGTTTCATTCCCTAATGAAAAAAAAAACGCTGTCGGACAGAATGTGTAGTAATCCCTGCTGTTCCTTAGTCCTTAGTCTTGCACTCATTCCAGTTCGTAATAGGGTATTGGTAGACGATTCGCGCTTCCTGCGAAACCTGTTGTAAAATAGGGACAGAAGCGGATATGTACCTATATTTGTAACACCCTCTCCCTAGCCCCCCTCCATCCCTCGTCATTTGATCTTTGACACGTAATATAGTTTTCAGGTATGTCTATTTGAAACCTTTATATTTTTGTTAATTTTATTCCCTTTTTGCTTTCATTACATGCTATTTTTCTCCCTTATTTTCCTTATTAATAAAAATATAATTTCTCTCCGATTTATTAGTGACAAAAAGAACGATCAATCCATGCCGCAGTCCATTCCTCTCGTGAAGACTTTTTTTTAGATTTAGAGCTAAGCGAGGAAATGGATTAGGCATGGGTTACCTCGCATACTGAATGTGGAAGAGGAGTGCATACATTTAGGTGAAACCCCAGCGAAGAAAGAAAAGTATCCCAAGACTATAAGTACTGAATTTTTTTTTAGCATTTTCCGTAATCGCTCGTCGCGGTCCCATGAATCTGCTATGAGATACAAAGATCCTGATGTAACACAGCTTCTCCTCGCATTGCGTAACCGTTAATTCATCCGTAACCAGAAATTCATTCAGGTATGCACGAAAAGTTCAATTCTGATGTTACAGTCATGAGAAATGTGGAACTTTGAAATAAACTCCAATTTTCTACTCGGATTTCCCCCAAAAAAGTGGAACATATTAGACTCCAAAAACTGGAGCATGCTTTTGCCGATGGGAAATTTCTATGAAGAATGAAAGCGAAAAAACACATTCAGAAAACAGAAAAATTATCTGTAATGGCGTCATGGCGTCTCTAATCCGTATATGCTGATGGAAAGTGCGTTTTCATTCAACTGGTGAGTAAGAAATGCCAGCAAGAGAAAATACATGGGAGGGGCTTCATCGTACCCACTGTAAGACCGGCTGTAATTTTATGAACTCATGGGAATCCTCAACCAAATTGCGTCATCTTGAACAAACTCTTCTACTTAAAATCTAAAAACGTTCAATTCCATCACGTCTATAACTTCTAAGAATCTTAACCATTGATGTGAACTCAGAAACGACATTTATGCCATTTCCACTGTCCTCTTGTGAATAAGTCGATCGACTTTTGTCCAAAGAATGTCCTGCTTGATCGCTTCCCAGCTTCTTTCATCATCGTCTCGTTGGACTAAGTCATGCAGAAACATCATTGTTATTCAATAAATTATAATGATGAAAAAGCAAGAATAGAAATGGGAAACGGTGCTGCGATCAAAGCACACCACGACTTTCAAGCTATTTTATTATGAAAATCATTAGGTAACACGTTTCCACTTATAAATAAAAGGCAATAGAGTCGTATCGGCAGTGCACGCTCCCATCAAAAACACTTTTCTCTTCAAGTTTATTTTGACTCGAGTGTTGAAGGTAGGGAGGAGCGGAACATCCCTTACAAAAATGTCTTATAGGAACCTAAAGGAATCCTATAGGATCCTATATGCCCCATAGAGTTCAGTTTGGGACCTATAGAGTCCCCTATTGAACCTATAGAGTTCCCTAAAGAACGAATAGGGTTCCCCATAAAGCCTATAGGTTCCCTATAGGACCCAAAGAGTTCTGTATAGGACCCATAGGGTTCCCTATAAAACCAATAGGGTTCCCTATAGGACCTATAGGGTTCCCCATAGGGCTTATACGAAACCCTACAGGCCTAAAGGGTTCCGTTTGAAGTTCTCCTCTAGGCCACTAGATGGAAGTATTGTTCTCGCCTTGCCTCATTGTAGCAATCAATAAACTTCGATAGTTCCTTATTTGTCATCCCCATATTCCAGATAGAATCATTGAGTTCCGTCTATAGGTTTCCTATAAAAAAATAACTTTAGGTTTCTTATAGGACATTTCAGTAAGGGATCAAGAAGGAATTCATACCTCTCATGCCCGAACCTTCAACCAAAATAATTTGTTTCCCTGGATATTTCGTTTTCTCGAAAAAAAGCGGAGGAAGATGGAAAACCGGTCGACGAATCGAAATCAGAAGAGAAGGAAGCGGGTCTCCAGATCCTGAAGTATCTCGTCAAGGTCGACAAATTACGGATCGAAGAGCAAGCAGACGCCAACAAGGGTAGGCGGTTTTCTTTTCGCATTCGGGTGCGGCAATGGACGAAGGCGTTTTTTTGTCCCTTCTAGTCCTGAGCTTTAGCGAGTCAAAGAGAAGGTACAAGGTGAAGGACAGCTTGGGACAGACTGTCTATGACGCGGTCGAGGATTTGAGATGCAACGTGAGTTCCAGCGGTGGAGACCGTCAAGGCTTTGGCACTAGGATACTCGACGCTCAGAGCACCGAGGTGATGCGCATCTTTCGACACCTCGTTTCGGATGCCGATAGCCATCAGGTCAGTCATTTCACCGTCCTCTTCCTATTGCAAATTATGCCGAGGTAAGGCAAAACGAGAAAAGATTGGAATGATTTGGAAGATAAGACCAAAGATAGAGTTCAAAAGTTCGGCTCGTGCATTCAAAGCGACTGCGGTGAATTTTTTGTTGATGAATTCAGAATGCAAGGAAACNATGAATTCAGAATGCAAGGAAACCATTCGGTACTCTAGAATTAAAAAAAAAACATTTTGGGTGGCCAGTGGCAGCATTAACCAACTTCCTTGTTCCCTTCAGAGATTGGAAGTGTTTGCTCCGCCGGAACAGCTGATCGGGATTGTGGAACATGAGCAGAACCTCGTGACCCCGAAGTTCCTAATAATGAATTCGAAGGGCAAGACAGTGGCACGCATTAAGGTTCCCATGTCTACTACAAATCTCTTCGGGAGCGTGAAATTCCAGGTCTTAATCATTTTTTTTATATCTCATTCATCTCTTCTTAATAATTTTGTTTGAGTTGCTGAGCTCTGTATATAGTCACCCATATCGATGGAAGAAAGATGGAAGTACGTATTTCTTTTTCTTGGTGGTTCCAGGTGAAGAGCGATAGCGGGAGGACGGTCGGGGCGATCAAAAAACAATGGTCAGGTCTCTGGAAGGAGGTCCTCACAGATGCGGATCACTATGGCCTCACTTTCTCCCCAAAACTGAGTGTTAAAGTGAAAGTACTCGTCTTCGCTGCCGCCTTCTTAATCGTAATGATGCTTTCTTACTTCCTCGCACCCCCTCATCCTTCCGGTTACCAAGTGTGAACTTAATTTTGTTTCATTTTTAGGACTTCGTGTATTTCAGTAACCGGGCCAACTAATCCCAAGGACGATTCGTTAGACACAAAAGAGTGATCATCACTCTGACCTTCCCACATCAACAGTTTGCTTCTTCAACGCAACGGGAACTCATCATGAGAGATTCTCTGCATCTACTCACGAAACCGCATCCAGCAAACTCTAAAAGAGTCAAAGTGAACTTGCCGCAAGGGAGCTAAAAGAGTACAAATCAAGACATTCGCCTTAAAAAATTATGTTGCAGCAGCACACGATGTATTTCCAATGCACAAGATTTTGATGTTTATTGGAAGATTTTGGGAAATCATGTTTGGGAGATAATTATTGCAAAGTGCACTTCATAATACACGTATTCTATTGTAACTAGCAGCCTATGGCCGCAATTGCGGCCTTCTGCCTAAGGACTAAAACTTTTTTTGGCATGACTTATCAACTAAGAACAGTCTTAGCCAGATACTCCCTGCCAAAATGTAATATGCAGTTCATGATGGAACATATACAGAGTTTATCATATGTCAGAAATCATAGAGTTCTATGGCCCAGAGAGGCAGAGCCTTGTAGGCCTTGCACGTTATTCATCGCGCGAAGTCCATGAGGCTATTCCTTTCCAGGTCATAGGTTGTGCCATAGATCCCAGTGACTCCCGACATAAGTTACACCCTGTATACATCAAAGAGATCCTGAGGCACAGCGTGGTATCCCTGCCTGTATGCGCAAAAATAACCAAAAATTAGTTGGGCATGGGTCAAGTAAAGGAATATGGTATGAATCATGAAAGGGTAAAGAACGTGACAAACATGGGAATGAAACGGATGTTTCTTTCATAATAAAATTCCCGATGAATGAATTAGACAATTAAAGAAGTACTTTTCCATATACCACAACGTCAGCAATGGTGCCATGCTAGCTACAGTTTTGCCCTGCTTCGGTCAATTGATAATCGGAATCTTCAGGGAATCCTCAGATAGAACTCGCTAACAGGCAACGAACAATCGCCCATGCGTCAATACTGGCTTTGGAAGTAATAGTCCGACATCGAATGTCTCTCCCTGAGACTTGTTTGTGGCCATACCGTTGGCAAGCACAATAGGGAATTGGAGTCGACAAAGATGGAAGCGTATGTGACGTCAGATGACGTGCCCATTGAAACTTCGCAGCGAATTAACGAGCTACGAAGCGCACCCGTCATCACCTCATCTTGTAAGACGTTTGCGTTCATGTTTCTCATTATCACACGCGTAATGTTGCAAAAGTACTGGACTGGTTGTCCAGTACTCTCGCTGGTGGAAGTGGTTCGACGCGTACACGCAGAGCTCTCCGCGCAACGTTAACAGCCATATGTTGCTCTACAGTTAATGCAGCTCTCCTATCGGCATTGATATCTTCTAGTTGCTCATCGGTCAGTGCAGATCTACGCAGCTACGCAGCCTCGGTGCTTCTCATACGCGCACGGATCGCGCATTATTAAACTAACTCATCTCACCCAACCAAGGTCCGCAAAGCAAAGGCTTGTAGGCCTAACATTTGCATGGACGAATCACGAAACGCGCCTAGCTTATTAAATGAAAGGAAAAGGCTCATGGGGCGATCGGAAACCAAGCCTATGATCTGGAAAAGCAAAGGCTTATAGGGTTATGGGCTACCTAACCTATATACTTGAGTGGCTAAAGCTTTATAGGCCAGAGGCTACACCTACCATGAATCTCCTTCGCGTATTCTAATAGAGTATAGATGGATGGATGTCGGAAATTAACTTGTTTATTAATTCTAAAGGTAATATACCCAATTAATATCTGAAATCCTTTCGTCCTCTCGCTATATGTGTTGATGTGAAGCTACCCTCTACAAACATCTTGCATCGTGGAAACTATGCAATTCATTGGAAATAAATACAGGCCTTAATTGCTGTCCATTTGGTAGGAAATTGGTTAAGAAATATAAATTAATTTCATATTCCAATGATGAAGGACAGGTCAATTAAGATAAAGGTTCATTTTTCTTTCTCTGCCAATCTATCCAGTGCGCCTTCGATAGTATATTTGAGAAGTATCAATGCTTTTGAACATTCACGGGAGAGAAAGCGTGCTAACAATACCTAAAAATACCCCAGTATATGCATTAGAGATTCTGATAGTATTGGATGAAAAAAGACCTGGAGATATAGTCATACGTTAGGTACACATTTTGTTTTAAATTTCACAATTGCATTTCAGAGGTCACATGCAAAAATGCACATTACCCCAAATGTAATGTCCATTTCTACGACCCATATGTTACAATTTACATTTTCAAATGTTTCGTCGATTGGCCTGCTTTCCAATAAACAGAGATGCGCGATTTTCGCAATGTGTACCACCGTGCGAAATTTATTCTAAATGCAACTTCTCTGCCATGGAGGTAAATATTGTGGCATTTCGAATGCACAACTGTTTGCATGCCTGCGAGGACTGGATGAATAGAGACAATACTGCCACCATAACTATTTATTTCATGCCAATTCCCTTGGCAATCTTGCATTGGGTCGTGAGGATTCATGAGGATGAATCAATCAAACTTATTGATTACTTTTATAATTCGATTTTGAAGAGAAAAAAAAATTTAGTATGAACACTTGACCACCGTGGAAGAAGAATGGACATGTTTGATGAGTTGAGATGAATGGAAAAAATTCTGAGCCGATCAAGAAATTCCAAGTGCTCTCAAATCTTCCATGGAAGTTGTTTTCGCCAGAAATGACCGGATTAATTTCATTCACTGTTTTAATGGACTTGGACCATCCCGTAGAAGAAAAGTTTAAGCTCTCTCCTCTGATCGTCTGTCACGCGTCTCTACCTTCGGAGATCGGAATTACGGAAGCCGAAACGAGTGATAAATGCCTCGTCCTCTCCTCCCGCTATGCCGAGAACAAGCTGAGAATCTCTTCGAGATCGACGGGACAGCAAACTGATTTTCCATCAACTGTCGTCATGACTCGGACGTTAACGCAATTATTGGACAGAAGTGTCTGACAATAATCATTCCTCTTACAAATAAGTCAGTCCTCTGTCCCACCCTCTGTGAACTCCTGCCCACCGAAAGTTCACAAAGATTCCAATACTTTACTTACTGAGAGTTTTTTTTTAATCTTAGCTTTCACATTTCCCTTTCCATAGATAATGCTCTTCATCAATTTTATTCTCATTTTCGCCAACATCAGCAAATGCAAGGCATTGACAGATTGGGTGAAAGCTTGTGCTGGGGAGCGGTGAAGGTGGAAATTATCTCAGAGAAAAAGGTCATCCTTTACGAAAATGTGTTACAGGATTCCTATATATTCCTTTAAGAATATATAGGAACCCTATAGATACCTATAGGCCCCATTGGGTTCAGTATGGGACCTGTATGGTTCCCTGTAGAACCTATAGAGTTCCCTATAAAACCTATATGGTTCCTTTAGGACCTGTAGGGTTCGCTATAGGACCTATAGGGTTCCCTATAGAGCCTATGCAGAAACCTATAGGACCTATAGGGTTCCCTATAGGTCTCCCTTTGGAACCTATAGGACCTATAGGGTTCCCTATAGGTCCTATAGGTTCTAAAGGGAGACCTTTCCCTATATGGCTTATACAGAACCCTGTAGGCCAATAGGGTCCCGTTTGAAGTTCTCCTTTAGGCCACTAGATGGGGGTATTGGGTTATCGCATTTCTCAAAGGACAGAAAAGTGCCCTCTCCTTACCAATGAAATCATCTCTCACAAGAGAGAATACGTGTTGAGAAAATTTTCCAGAGAGGAACATATCAAAATATTATTTCAATGATTTAGGTAAATAGTATGGATGGAAAGAAGGCGTGTGCCCCCAATGAAAAATGCATGCAGGGATTTAAAAAATTGCATAAGGTATGGAATGGTTTTACCCCAGAACATTATATTTTGCTCCGACTTCTTACGACTTGATACATTTTCCGACGTCCGTGTCGCCTGCATGCCATCTCACGGACGAACGTAGGCTCCCGAGTTTCTCCTCGATGGTCTTCCTCCAGGAGTCGAATATCTCCTTCGAATCTTGGAACGATGGTATGTGGAGATTATCGCCGACAATTTCACGTACGCCAGTACCGATAACAGCACCATCGCATCATCTCTTTCCTCCGCCGAGTGCTCCCTGATGTACATGTTCCTGGTGAAGAGAATAAATGCGAAATAATGATTCATTCATCCTAGATCTGAAAAAGACACCAGAAGAGAGAGCTTGAATGACACTAGCCATGCGTGTCTCTACGTGAGAGACAGGATGTGTTAAGCACATCCCTGGTTACATTTATAACGACTTTGCATCTTTTGAAAAATCATGGACATTGGTAGATCGCTCAGTTTTTAATGACCAAGGACAAGTTGAATGATTATGTGAGTACCCTTACGGAAATGTCCTATAGGAAACCTTTAGCTATTTCTTATAGGAAACCTATAGACTTTCCTATAGGTTTTTGAAAAACGAAAAACCTATAG